GGGTACCGTTGGCAGCTGGCCAGAGCGTCATGGTCTCGTCGCGGTATAAGATGGAAGTCGTTTTGACGAATCGTCTGCCCTTTCCCCGCGCTATGCTCACTGTCGTGACCTCCAGTGGCACACCCATTCGCGATCGCGTCTCCTTATGACCCGTGTGATCAACGAATGTGCTAACGACGATAGGGTGACCGTGATTGTTGAAGCTTTCCGATGAAGTACACATGGTGGAGAATCTATCAGTACGTTCTGCATCTCTGTTTCTCGACGGTGGAGTTATTGACCGACTCCGGATCTCTCACCATCTGAAGACTTGAGCCGTAACAACGGGTTCCGTGTACACATACTTTGGTAGTATCTAAACCGATCACGCGCATCTGAAATCACCGCAGGAAGAATATCATTTTTGAGCATTCTGCACAAGGACCGTGTCTGTCGATGTTAACTTCGTGTGCGATCTGTGAGATCGACGAACTGACTATTCCCTGCGATAGATCCAACCCCGTTAGTGCACGGGAGTGCCTCATCTTTACGTTTTTTTCGCAGCTCGAGGCTCGAGGACGTATCATTTCGGGGCAGCAGCGGTGTTGAATTGACGATTGTGAGTCTTCTATCGTTCGAAGTCGGAGTCCAAGTCTAATAACTTGACAATGCCTTATAGCCCAGTAGTAACATACACACTGCAAGTCCTCGCCGCGGAGGCTTACATCCGTGGTGTGTGGCTGTGGGACTCGTTCTTGGACGCCTCAACCCATTCTTCGTCTTGCGAATGGAGGAAGCAGACAGCAGACGATGACTTGTAGGAGAATGTAGGTGCGTTATTCCTCGATTTCGCATCGCGTCGCCTCTCCCCGTCTACATGGTTTCGCCTATGTGCCGTTCGGAGGTCTCACCTGGAGCGAGGTTCCACGTATCTCCCGACGACGTCGTCGTCTGTGGATACAAAGGCCCATTGGCGTCGGAGTCTGGTCGCCTATTCTAGAGTCTAGTTCCCGTGCGTGCCCCGGAAGGGTCCGCCAACGATCACGTATCTGACGCCCAACATTTAAGGACATTCGCCTTCGGCTAGTCTTCCCTCCATCTCTCCACCACAGTCGTGTTCCCTATATCATCCACCCCGCATATCTCCCCCTCGTTCTACCTCTCTTTCTTCACAATGGCAACCACAACCGCCGTATACATGCTCGTTGCTGCAGCCCCGGCCCCGGCCCCCGCCGCCCCGGCCCCAGCCCCAGTCCCAGTTCCAGCCCCCGCTCCCGTCCCCCCACGGCGGCTTCCGCAGTTCTAAACGACGAGAACACCCCAATCACCGCCGCGGGACAAGCCCCTGCCGGACAGCCAGCCGTGGCAGCTCCCATGCCACCTGCCCCCGGTGCCAACCCCGTGGCCCGGCCACCTTTGCAAGCCCTGAACGGTCGCGACCGACTCGACCCTCTCGACATCATCCTGTATGTAGCAGCGGAGCCTGGGGTGACAGTATTCCCCTTCATTGCCCCTCGCGCAATGGAACGTGCTCAGATTGTGGGGAACGACCAGCTCGTGTGGATGTGAACACGGTCTTGGTAAGCCCTTCCTCGCAACTTACAGCCTCGTTTCGTGACGTTTAATGTACTATCTATGCATTTCTAGAACCCCGCACCATAATCCCGTTTACCATCGTCTCGTCGTCCTCGCTATCATGTATTACACCGTCTGCTCTCAGTTACCATGCATGCTATCTTGTATTGTCTGTCATCTCGTTATCCATACATCCAAGTACTCGCGCTTCCATCATACTCAATCCTCATTTCTGCACTCTCACTTTGTGACTTTCGAGAGCGTGCGCATCGTCCGAGCTGTACAAACCAACTTGACTGGTTGCCATATTTAACCTGCGACGCATCGACACGTAGACGCGACGCGCCATGATCGATACGGCGTGCAAATGTGTGTACATGCCACGTTCATGATCGCGCGCTTGGCTTTTCGAACTGCCATTTCCGAACATGGGTGCGACAATGAGTTTATACAAGGGCCGAGCTGATTGCGGGGACTTGATATTCCGCGAGATATCACTCGTCCAAGTGACAGACATGCTGTCTGCACGTCTCGTACGTGGGACATGTTGTATGTTATACAGGTGATGGGCAGTACTGTTGAAAGTATGCGACGGTCGGGAAGGTTGAATGGTCCAAAGATACTATGTCTACAGAGATGAAGTATAGGAAAAGGCAAGGAACGGGAGTAGTAGTATTTACAAGTATAGATGACGGAGGTAGATAGTACCGGAAGACAGAACAGACACAATGTATATCTAGAGGAAGGGACTTCATAGCTGGATGAAAATATACTGTAAGATTGTAGATTGGGTCGCAGAGAATCAGCAATAGTGCATGGAGACGAACAACGACGAGACATGTACACGATAGACTGAGAGGGGCTGTCTCAATATACAACAATGGAGGAACTGTTACGAAGAGTGAGACTTTGCTTATCGTAGTGGAGTATTGAAGTGTGCTTCATCAGAGACGGATTCCTTGTCAGGGTAAACCTCTTCACCCTCGTCCTCGTGCTCCTCATGTGCGTCAGCAGTGTACTCTGCTTCATCAGTGCTCGCTTCTTCGTCAGCCTGGGCTTTGTTGAGGTCTTCTACGTCGTTGAACGGGAAGCCCTGCAATATACGGTGAGCCAAATCGCGCAAAGCATTGTGAGGGACAACATGCACTTACTCCCCGTTTCTAATATGTGATGTGACTTGGTCTGAGCTCTTGAATGTCGTCCCGCACCCGACTTGTCCCGGCCAGACGTATACGAGCTTGAGGTGGTACTGCTCAATGTGACCAGCTGATTGAATGGGAGCATGCTTGAACTTAACACTACAGCCAGGCCATATGCATGACTGTCGTCTACCCTTGCCTGTCTTCCGGCTTTGGAGGTGCTTGAGGAAGTGGACACGACCAGCTGTCAACTCGCTCACTTTGTAGACGATGCCGCAGCCCGACACAGGGCACGACAACCGAGGGTACCGGGCCTTTATCAGCTTGCATACAACGCCAGTGCCAGTTCGATTCTAGTGAGAGGTAGAGGCGATGTTTTAAGGAGGAAGTGAAGCTAAAGATGTCGCTGACTTGGAAATACGAGGTTTCTTAGTGGAGTTACTTCGAGAGTCTTGGTTGTTTGAGGAAGAGCTGCTCGACATGTCGTAACCCGTAACCACGATTTGGTTCATGGATTGTCTTGCGCTTTCTTAAGACGTGCTGGTGAGATTTTGCGAGGGCTGAACATTCTCCTGCCTCGACGAGTGCTCCGCGCCTTTGCCTTTTGGATCATCAGAAAGCACAGAGTGAGCGGACGGTGGTGCAGCGCTGGAGGTTGTGTTGGTTATGATGTCTAGACTCGAAATTTGAGACACAGCAAAGTCTTTGAGCTGTGGCGACTCCCTGAATGCAATCAAAGTCTTGCAACGACAGTAGGATAGCTTATTAGAAATAGAAAAGAAAGACGACTAGTAGTCACGTACTCACCCGGCCTTCATGGACTAGCAGACCTGCAAAAACCAACAGGTCTTCTTCTGCAATGGTATACAGACCAGGAGCAACCTCAACTGGATACAGACGGAAAAGATTCCGGATAGCAGCCCAGCGGGGCTGCCGTTTGTTGTATGCGATTGCCTTCAGTCTATTGCGCAGGAGGATGGCTTGTGAAGTCGGGCTGTCCTGCCAACCCTTTGCGTCGATTAGTTGTGTGAATATCGACTCAAGCTCCATGATTGCTGATAGCCTCGACTGAGCTTGAAGAAAGGGTAGACAGTGGTAGCAGAAGGCACAAATGGCTGTGCCAGTAGGTGGCAGGAGAGTGGTCACGGTGGAGCAACCGCTGGCGTGCTCGTGGATGTTTAACTTTCTACACTTCTCGGCGGCTGCGTAGAGCGGGTAGAGCCATACCTTCAGTCCCTCGCACTTTGAAGCAAAGCTCAACCTCGGTATACAACTACTGCTGGGAACTGTAGACTGCAAGGACAGCAGCAGGTTTGTTGCGTATACTACAAGTTAGTCAACTCGAAGTCTACCACACTTTCACTATGCTCGGCCCATAGGTTGGCCTCGAGCATTCAGCGCAAGTGCACTTAGTCTCCATCTCAGAGTTCTTGTAGACAGAGGAAATGTTTGGGGTAGTCAGCGCATAGAGATCGAACAAAGAATGGTTGTTCCGGGTAGTAAGGCCAGTGACAAGAACGCAAGGGGAGTCGGTTCGAGACAAAACCCTCTCCGAGTCGATGGTATAACCGAGTGCGTTCTCGACGGCCTTGCGAAGGTCCTCAAACTGCAATCAGATAGTTCAACGTCGACATGGTAAGTAGTGTCCAATTATTTAGATTTCAATAGTAGATACAGGCTCTACAACGAGCAGTGTTGTCATTTTTCCGATAAGAGTATAGTTGTTTCTGTATCATTCGCCCTTCAAGGACGAGTCGCAGTCAGCCATCCAGAGTCTGACTTTCAGAACATTGATGTTGAACATGGATTCCTACATATAACGACTCCACGCATTCTTTAAGAAGTATTATACGAGGTCTCTACGATGCACGTAGACCACACGGTCTGATTGATGTCACGGTCGAGGCAGTGCGAGGCTTACCTGGCAAGTAGAGTCTTATAGTTATCCCCCGGTGTATAGAGCAGAGAACCTTCTCCAATGGTGCTGATGCAGCTCCCATACTACCACTAATCAGAAAGTTCGAACTGTGCTATCATATGTATCAAATCCGGGTGCTGACGGGGGATCATATGGAACAGTGAGTTCGGGGTCCGAATCAGGGGTTGACACTCAGCGAGCGTATAGCTCCATGGATAGTTGTCCAAGACAGAGGTATCATTCGAACTTTCGATATAGTAGTGGGTCAGTATGCGGCGACGAGCTGTTGAGAGAGTATGTAGTTGTCTCGTTCAACCAAGTTCAGATCTTAACCACACGGTTGCACCAACCCCATACGTACTATTAAGTAAGAGGAAACCACGGTAATGTCTCTGTTAGTATATCGGTTAGTACACGCGCCTGTCATCATTGACTTCGGTCGCGCGAAAGCGGGGTTCGACTCCCCGACAGAGAGTTGATTTTTTTTCAAGTAGAACATTTTTGTCGCCTACTACTACACAAATGCCGAACACACTGTAAGTCATCCTTTTGATAACACCCAACTTCAGAGCAGTCTGTGAACAGTCCGCGTGCGACCCATCAATGTTGATGTTGTTGATGCTGAGGTTCTGGTACGCAAGTTTGCTACTACTAGGTATGTACGCAGGCGCGACAATCCATGTGAAGTGATCGTAAGTGCTGCTACAACCTGTTCCGTGAGCTCTGGTGTCTAGGTTCAATGGCAGGCTCCAACTTGTTAGTGGAGGGTTGACAGGTGTTCAAGGTTGCACGGTGTCGAGTAACGAATGTTTGCTCCTGTTAGGATCGGGAGCCGTCGCTGCTCGGCGCGATCGTGAGTGAATGCCGCAATTGCGTTGCAATTATGTTTGAGGTTGCGCGGAGGGACTTTTTATACACGATGTAGCGCACAACATTCCGGACGTGAAGGCTAGTAAGACAACAAAAGTCACTGAGATGCGATGGACGAGCGACGTAGTGATGAGAGGTAAGAGAGAGTGATGGGGAAAGAGGGTGTAGATGAGTGTGGTGTGTACTATTAGTACGAACGATTCGGATGTTGATTGCGTAGATGAACGACAGAGAAGGAAGCAGAGGACCACGACAGGGACGCGATGCTATACGATGCTTTTACGCAGCGCGCGACGTGTAATCTTGCCAAAGATTATCGACGAACTTGGAGTCGGTCTGCACCGTACTGTCAGGCGACCCGCACAGCACGTCAGGAGAGGGAAGACTCACGTGGATGAGGGTGAGCAGCTCGCGAACGAAGTCGTTTTTCGCGATGCCTATCTGACCCGGAGCTGCCGCAGACATCGCGGCGAGGATCGCTTCCTTAGCCGCAGCGCCGTTCAGCGCACCTTCCTGACTCTGTCCATTCGCCACCGCCTTCTTCGCTGGCTTGGGAGCCTTGACAACTTGAGGCTTAGCAGGAGTCGTCGCAGCCTGAGCAACTGGGCCCGTGACGGACTGCTGGTACGCCGGCTGACCTTGCGTCTGCGTCGGGATGTCCCAGCCCTTCTCGATCTCCGCCTTCTCTTTCTCCCTCTCCTTCTCGCGCTCCTTGCGGGACTTCTTGCCCTTCTCCTTCTTCTCCTTCTTCTCCTTTAGGCGGGAGGAGAAGATGGCGGGATCACTCAGCGCGCGCGTGTCGGCGAAGTCCAGCTCGACCACGTCGTCCTGTTCAAATGAGCGTTCGTCGAGCGGGGCCCTTGGGTATGGCCAGAGGTCGGAGTTGGCCTCGAATGGGACGAGCTGGCGTTGGCGCGGAGCAGAGTTCGCTGCGAGGGCAGGAGAGGCAGTGCCATTGCCGTTGACCTTGCCGTTCGCGTTGGGAGTAGCCGTACGCTGTAGGAACTGAGGAGGAGACGTAGGCGGGAGGCGCATACCTCCTGTGGGCGGGCGAGGTGTGACATCGCCAGCCACGCGTCGTGTGTCGTTCGTCTTTCTGGCGCTTTCGGCTTCGGATTCCGAAGATGGCGCCTGCGGTACGGCGAAGGTGGGGATTGATCGCGTATTGGAGACAGTTCGTACGACGTTCGACTTCGAGTACTCGCCCTCAGAGGTGAGGTCCTCTTCGCTGTACTCGTTGTCGCCCTCGTAGCGGTGCTGCGCGGACCGGCGGGACCCGACAGAGCTTGGCGCCGCGGATGACGCACGAGAATCCGGGGCGAGTCCCATCAAAGAGTGGAGGACGTCCTGGTTGAGAATCTGCGGTAAAGCGCTGGACGTGGGCTTAGGCGAGACGATCACAATTTCATCGGGTTGGGAAGGCAGTGGCTGGGATGAATGTTGGGTAGGGATGGAGGAGGATGGGCCTGGCTGTGAGGCGGAGGCGAACATCATATTCAGCAAAGAATGTCCAGTGGGTAGAAGGTCTACACTTGACGGGGGTGCAGGTTGGGACGACATGACAGATTGCTGATTCGTGGCTGGATTTCCACCCAACGCGGCTAACAGATCGTGAACTGTCCTTGATGATGATCCGGATGTCGACGATGCAGGTGTTGGAGGGCTGAGTATAGGGGCTGAAGTGGACGGAGGCACAAGCTTCGCGAATAGTTTGTCAAGCTCGCTCCCCGACTCATTAGTTGCGGGGGCGCCTGAAGGTGCAGAGTGGCTGACTGCGATCCCATCGGGAGGAGCCGTTTGTGCACCAATCACTTCGATACAATTTCAATTGCATTGCACAGATACAGAGAGGTATAATCACCCCTTACCTTGGTGTTCTTGTACAGATGCCCGGCTGGCGGTGCGAAGATGCTGAGTATGTGGAGGTCGACCGGGATAGTACCGGAATTCCTCTGGATACGGAAGTCCTTGCTTGATGTAAGTGTGAAGTCTGTAGGGCCGTGAGCGAGACTCGAAAGCGATTGTGACGCGGTGACACATCGAGGCGGTGAACAGTATATTGTGACTGCGAGACTTCGCAGAACAAGATGTTCGAACTGCATTCTTCTCAAGGACACCACACACGAGCGAAGCCGCGTCCTGCACATTGCACGGATGACGCAAACGAAGCGATGGTGACGAAGCAGGTAGGAGAAGGTAGATGCGTACCTCATCATGACCTCTTTCATCGGTTCGCGCGAATCTGTCTGAGACATCCATAGTCCAACAGTAGTGGCCTTTCCCCTCTTCTCCTTGTCCTTATCCTTCTCGCGAAGCTCGGGAGCCATTCGCCTGGTAAGCTCCGCGTGGAAGGCCTCACGAGACTGTTCAGGGATGGGATAAGGCAAGCCCATATCGAGACGTGTCTGCGTGTAGTCGGGATAGAATCGATACATGAGGTAACCCTGCTTGATATCCATGTCATCTTCCGGGTAGATAGAGCGGACGTAGTCTTCGGCGCCCATGCGATTCAGTATATAGAAGCCGTATGTGGGATATGTAGACCTGAAGGCTACTTTGAGCCTCTGAGGGAGAAAAATTGTCGTGGGGGACGTACTTTTCGAAGATGAACATGCTTCCCTCGTATCCGTGTTTCTGCCACCTCTGCCCGTCAAAGTGGTAAAGACATACATAGCTGAACTGGTCGCATATAGATGTGATGGATGGCTCCCGTCGCAGGAGGACCTTCATGTTGCTCTGGTAGACGGCGGGGGGGATGCCATGCTGCGGTTGCGCGGGTGCGGCGGGGGTGATTGATCTCTGGTGAGGCGGGGGTGTCGCAAATTGTGCGCGCTGTACGTTGGAGGTCGAGCGGTGTCGTCGAGGAGGCATGACGGTCGAGAGTAGAGTCTGCGATTGGTGCACGCGCGGTATGTGGCCCGCGCCTCCCGACTTGTGGACAATTACTTTTGGACAATAAGCCCTGGGATAAGTAGAGCTTAAGCATAATCCGCGCTCCGACTCAGGCTCCTGCCCGTCCTGTGGGTACAAAAGCTCAGCATGGATATAACGGAAAAGTTGGTGATACTCCGCAGAAGCTGGGGGGAAACGAGGAGTTAGTGCAGTATCAGCACATTAAACGCAGTCTGTAAATGTACTAATAGTCATCAAACGCCTATAGTACTAGTAGTGTTGTCTTTGAACGCATATATGACGGAGTTTGTAATGCTGATGAGTGAGTCAATCGGACCTCATCGGACTCTCAACGTGATATGGCTGAGGAGTTGTATGCTATCGTAGCTACCAGCTTTCGGCCTTTCACGTTCACCCTGAGTTCACCTCCTCCTACACCGTCCAAACTCTTGGCCAACACCTCGATCTCTACCGTCTGATTTCTTGACCGACCGTTCAATTCGCATCGCCTTAAACATTGACAAGCCAGGGTGGTCAGGAGCTTGCCTCCACCCAGCTTGCGCTCGTTGGTCTTATAACTAAGGGCATCCTCGCGTCCACCGTCTAGACCCTACACCCAAAATGAGCGACAAAAAGCGTGCCTGGGAGGGCAGCGGAGACACCAACGCAGCTAAGAAACTGAGAAGGTACGTCTGTCTGGCCTGCATCCCGACTCATATCCTGACGACGTTTCCAACGCAGCGATGCTGTGAGTGCCATTCCTCTATCTCCTGAAGGTGAATAGGCTTCTTACCATGTCTTGAACTTGCGCTATAACCTTCTTGTGCCCGTTCAGACTTCTTCCAATGCAACGTCTTCGGGTTCAGTGGTACGTCCTTCTCGTTCTCCTGCTTTTGAGGTGATTGTCAAGCTTAGCGACCTTGACTGTAGTTATCCGGCGACGCCCTCATAGCTCAGAAGAGAGCTGAAATCAACGCCAAGCTAGCAGCCATGAAGAAGAAAACCGTCGGGGCTTCGTCTGCTACTCCAACATTCGCCACACCTTCAGCCGCTGCGGCAACATCTTCGCTACCCAGCACGGACGACGTGGCGCGCAGGATCGCCGAGGCTAAGAAGCGTTTGGCAGATACCCAGAGCAAACTGGCAGTGAAGGACAACCCCTACATGGTGCGTTGACATGTGTATTCTCATCTACTCCAGCCCATTTACGCGCCCCCAAGTCTGCTCTGCAAACCGGGAAGAAGAAGGCCCCAGCCGCACCTGAGCCCCTTCAGCAAGGTGCTGGTCTCAAGATGGCTGCCCATCCTATTCTACTCGATGACACTCCGACTCTTCCGCAATCCAAGAAAGATCGGTATAAGCCCATGCAACCCAAGTTCGCGTCCATCAAGGCAAACACCCGCAATGTGGCAACGCCTCCCCCAGCACCTACCCCCATTGTACCCATCGAGATCCAGGCGAATCCATACGCGTCGGCTGCAACTGCCCCTGGCGAGAGCGGCTTCGACGGTGCCCCGAAGGAGCGCGTTGGGCGCCAGTTCCGTTTCAACCCGAAAGGGAAATACGTTCAAATCGCTAATCAAGTGCGACAAGAAGCACAATTGGAGCAACTCAAGCAACGGATTGCCGAAAGTGCGAAGAAAGCAGGTCTCGACTCTGAGTTCGAGACGCTTGAGAAGAACATTCGGGTAAGCAGTCCCTCCCATATCGTAT